GACTCATTGCTGCCATCTGCTGGTAAAGTTTTACAACCTGGTCCCAGAATTCTTAGGACCCCTACGGGCCATTGTGCATATATACAGCACATATATCTGCATGACACTCATTGATGGAGCAGGTTCCTGTATTTGAACCATTAGGTCATCATGCCCCCTTGTGGTGAAAAAAATCAGCATAGAATAAAGAAGCCACCCACCCTCTGAAAATTTCATCTTTGAGATCAAGTGCTATCGGCAGACATTGCTTTCCTCCAAAATGGACTACAGTAGCATGGAGAAAAACTGCACTGTGCATTCTCCTGCCCACACCCATTTAGGTAGCTACTAAGCAGCTCATATCCCAAAAGGCAGGCTTTCTGCAAGCACATTCTCTATAAACATCATTCACGTTGCTTTCCTGCCTCCGTCGCTGGAGGAGACACGCAAATTTGTCAAGTGAGAGCTAATTACTTGCCAATGTGTCACTGCCACGTGTAGGAGTCAGGTTGCATAAAAGTACCTTGGGATTAACATCTCTCAAGGGAAGAAGCAATGCTTCCTGCAAATGCTTTGCTCTGGGTCACCCTTAGCGTTCTCAACACAAGTCACTTTAGACCCACTAGAATTTACTAGGTCTGGCACCTAAGGATCAAGTTGTAAGAGACTGCCAGCTTCACAGGCAGAAGGTAATTATAGATATTCTGCAACGTGGTGGCGCTGCGGGCTAAACCTCAGAAGCCTTTGTGTGCTGCAGAGTCAGAAGACCAGCAGTCGTAAGATCAAATCCATGAGACGGAGAGAGCTCCCGTCGCTTTGTCCCAGCTCCTTGCCAACCTAGCAGTTCGAAAGCATGGAAATGTGAGTAGATAAATAGGAACCATCTTGGTGGGAAGGTAAAACGGCGTTCCCTAGTCACGCTGGCCACGTGACAGCAGAAATTTGTCTTCGGACAAGTGGTGGCTCTACGGCTTGAAAAGAGGGATGAGTGCCACCTCCTAGAGTCGGACACGACTGGACTAAAAAATGTCAAGGGGAACCTTTACCTTTAGTAAGGCAACTCAACAAATGGGGGTGCCCCAAACAAAAAATCGTAACTTTGAAACTAGACTGCAAGTCAGCACCAAATAGGGCACAGACGAACCAGATAATCTGCTTTTTGCTTTGTGCCAAATTTGGGGACATGTTGGAAAACGGTTTTCGAGTTATGAGTTTTAAAAATGCATAGTTGTTTTACTCCCCATGCAGACAATGGCTAACCTTACTGTCTACCGTCTTAAACAGCTTAAATGTATTGAAAAGACCAAAGTTGATTATTTTGAAAGAGAATGCTCGGTTCATGCCCCTCCTATTCTCACTTGTTGAAAAACAGCCCTGACAATTGCTTTGTCTTTGGGTGACAAGTGGTTAACTAATGAAAAAAGGAGTCCGTTTCTGGGATTTTCTCTTGTGTGGTGTGACTTATGAATTGTTAACAAGAGTCCGTTTCTGGGATTTTCTCTTGTGTGGTGTCACTTATGAATTGTTAACAACCAAAAGAGTGTATCCTATAGATTAGTGTTTCAACTTGGGGGTCGTGGCCCTCAAGGGGGGCCCAAAATGTGTCTTCTGGGGGAGGTCACAGGTTGCCTTATATGTACAGTATGTGTTTGTAAAGTAGTTTCTTTCTTGACCTTTCAGGAAGCGGGATGGGATTTTCTCTTGTGTGGTGTCACTTATGAATTGTTAACAACCAAAAGAGTGTATCCTATAGATTAGTGTTTCAACTTGGGGGTCGTGGCCCTCAAGGGGGGCCCAAAATGTGTCTTCTGGGGGAGGTCACAGGTTGCCTTATATGTACAGTATGTGTTTGTAAAGTAGTTTCTTTCTTGACCTTTCAGGAAGCGGGATATTAAAGTTGGCATGTATAGTATATGTAATGAAACAAGTCCATTGGAGGAGAAAGAAGCCTCAATTTTCTGAGTAAGGATGATTTCCCCCCATAAAATATGTTTTATGCAAATATGGTGGTGGTGGTGGTGTGTCACAGGTTATTTGGCTATTAGAAAAGAGGGGGGTCATGATTAGAAAAAGGTTGGGAACCAATGCTGTAGACCCTATTGACTGCTGCTATTGGTGTTGTCAACATTCAGGCTGCCCTTTGCTGTGTAAAGCTTGGCATCCTTTTTCGTACTGGCAATGCGGGCTCTATATTGTGCAGCAATATTGGACCACTTCCTGGCTTTTTGAATTGTGTATACAGAAGCCCAATATCCCACATAAACCAGAGGACTGAATATTAAGTTTTCCCTTCAGAGATGCATTCTTTTCTATCTGTGCTATAAGCCTGAGTAATGAAAGTAGATTTTTTTACTTGCTGATGACTAAAAAGCAAGCTAACGTGTAAGTTGCTGGAAGTTAGCATTGCTATGTTCCTTTTATACAGTGGAAAGCAGACATCCACATTATGGGTTGCCTCTCCTACTCACTTTAATTGGTAAGCTATGTTTTGAAGTAGTCAACTAATCCAAGTGATTTTTAGCGTGGGAAGGGGCAAATGCTGGAACAGCAGTCTTATTTCCAAGCTATATAATTATAGCAAAAAGAACAAATGTGAAAGAAATAAGGAAACAGATTACCACTGGGCTACCAAAAACTGTACCTTGGATGATAATCTATTCCCCCCATCCCATCCTGAAAAACTAGAATTGAAGACTTTAGAAAACATGGTTGTTTTCTGAAACATAGTATCCTCTGTAGAATGCCCTCCTAATAATTTTATATAGGCTGTTTGTAGCAGTCTGAGGCAAAGCGAGTACTGTATTCTCTTCACTGTGCAATATTTCCTCTCAAGCAACTTAGTGGATCCAGAATACCTTTTCCCAAGGAGGCGTATGCTCTCAATTTCCATGTGCGAAATTGACACGAACTGGGGCACACGTATTGAACTGCTCCATCACTGAGCTCTTTGTGAGATGGAAATGGACGTGATAGCCTTGATATGTTCAGAATGTCTGGGAAATGGGAAAAATGCCACTCAAATTACTTGATGGCACTCTGCTCTGATCCTGTGTACAACTCAGCCCACAAGCACTGTCAGTAGAAAGGTGTATAGCAATTGTTTCTTACTTTGTGGTTTGGTTAAGGATGCAAAGAAATCCATCACTGGAGGACCCATGTACCTTGTTACACTGAACATCCACTCCTTTGGTACTGATCTTGATGACTCTACCAAACCACTGCTATTTTGAGGAGATCCTGCATTTAGTTTGCTTCTATGGAAACAAGGCGATTTTTCTGCCCAAGTTTGTATGTTGACGCTTCTATTAAGGCTATGGAACATGTCCCTTCTTGGAAATAGGCAATGTTCCTCAGGTTCAAGTTGTCTGTGTACATCAGTACCATCTGACCCTGTATTATGCATGAAGTCATGAGGCCCATAATGTGAAAACTTCAGTATTAATTTGGCTGGTTGACTCCCAACTAGTTTATGCTGTACAGGGAGGCTGTTGGTTACCATCTATCTCATGCAGCCAGGCGCTTCCTCCCTTCGCACCTGTGGCAATCTGAATTTTTTCTGTTTATTGCAAGGTCAGTTTAGAGGAACTCGTGGATCTGCAGTACCAGCTTTGCTTATCCTCATGTTTTTTGCCTCAAGAATAAGATCTTGTCCATGTGCGAGACTGCAATCAATACTTGAAGTCATTTAGGCTCAGCAGTTTCACTAATATTATGAGCCTTATCCTCTTTTGCTTCCATTACTAGATAGTGTGGTTAATTGTTTCCACTTTTTCCTACAGAGCATCACTCTCCTCCATGTGTGCCTTGATGATCCATAGGTGTCACTTAACAGGTGAGTAGTTCTCCCCTAAATTTCTTAACAACTCCATGAACTCTGAGACAGTCCACTAGTTTCTGTACATATTGCATTTTCTGCGATGTGCTGATGTCAATCTGATCAGCAGTTCATCCAGGTACACTGCACACCTGGTACAGAAAAACATAGCACTTCCTCAGGTGTGACACTGATGCTACTGTGTTTCCCCAAAAATAAGAGGGTCTTGTATTAAATTTGCTCCAAAAACCGCATTAGGGCTTATTTAAAGGGGATGTTTTATTTTGTTTCTGTAAAAATGAAATCTCCATTTATTCAAATACAGCCATGTCATCTTTTTCTGGTTGCTGCACAATGGTGGAAGGTGGGGTTTCACTTAACTATAGCTTATTTTGGGGATAGGGCTTATATTACGAGCATCCTGAAAAACCATGCTAGGGCTTATTTTCAGGTTAGGTTTTATTTTCAGGAAAACAGGGTACCATCACTTTCACAAACACCCAAGAAGGTGAGGATGGTCCAAAGGGTAGCACGTTGTACTGCTAGCAGTGCCCCTGGCAGATGAAACCAAAGTACCAGAGGTGAAGAAAGTGAATCAGAATGTGCCAATACCGGAGTGTTTCTATCCCCCATTGAACACCAGCTCTCCCATCTGGGAAAGCTAGTATCAGTTCACTGCTGTGAAAACTGCAGCTAGAGCAGTGCAACTATAAATAATAGGATTTTGACAACATCAAACTGCTATCAACTGGCAGATAAGCCAACTGCTGATAACAGGATGCCTGGGGAATCAGTATTTTGAATAATCATTATTGGAGTTAATGGTGCCATTGCCCTTCTGAAAGCTTCTTGCCCATGTAACCATTACCCCCATTGCTCCATCTTACTTTGTCTCCACCCTTCTACCATGTACTGTACTTTTCTCTGTATATAAACCTGTGGCCTAATTATTATGCTCCATCCATCTGAGGACATGAATGGAAATTGAAAAATGTTCACACTAGAATATATCCATTAGTCTTTAAAACATGAAAATTCTTTTCTCCTTACCTTTCTTACACTTGCTGAGAAATAACACGACAGTCTCTCTGAGACCTCCTAAGCGGCAGATTTACTTCTGCCCATGAGAGCCCAATACCTCCTTTCCCACTCCTTCTTATGCTACCATCCACCTGTTTATACAATATAGTGTTACAAAAACAACCCCTTAAATGCAGCTAAAAAAGCTTTTAATGTTTGAGCTAAACATTAAGGTTACATTTTAATAGGAAACGTGGAAGAAATTTAAAATGAACTCTTCTGTTTGACCTCTACCAATGTCCACGGTTGGAAGACCCTCTAATTTCAGGATTCTGGTATTCCAGCCTTCTTGCCCTTTTTGCTCTGAAAAACTTTGTTATAGAAGTTAGAAGGGTGAGGCGCAAAGCCTGAAGGAATCATAAGCAAGACAGCGCTGACTTTAGGGAAAGTGAGGTTTTTTTTTCAGATCACAGGGGGAACTCTGCAGACTACTTGATGCGGTAGAGGACCTTGCGCTGTAAGCGATGCTGGATCTCACCACGGCGCATCATAAGCTGCAGCACCCTGTAGATGGCATGCTCGGGGTATTTCTGGAGAGAAGGAAAAAAGAGCAGAAGACATTCTATGAAGCCCATGACGTGAAAAAGGCAGCGACTAAAAAACGATGGGAAAGTTAAAAGAGTACACATAGAATGCAAAACTTGCAAAGATGTGGGAGCCACGGAGATCTACCCCAGACCCTGGAGGTCTGTACTTGTTTCCACACACCTCAATGCTGATCTATTTTTTAAAACTAAAACAGGTTCTTTGTAGCCTCAGGTTGGGAAAAAAAAAGCTTTACAATTTTTTAAAAAATGCTGCAGGTGTGTTGGAGGGCCTATGAGTGCTGATGGTGCCCCAAACGTTGCAAAATGGCTCCCCTTCACACCTCCCAGAAGACATAATTGGGGCTTTTCTGAGCTAAGAAAAGTTTCACTAAAATTAGCACACAGGCTGGGATGGGTGCCTTTGTCTCCCATGCCAAACAATTTATTATGCTCCATCATTTGCTCTAAAGAGTCATTTTGCTCTTAAAGTATAATGTAAAACCTGTCTTACACTGAGTCAGACTCTGGGTCCCACTAGACTAGTTATTGTGAACTCTGACCGGCAGCTGCTGTCCAGAGTTTCAGGCAGGACTCTTCTCTAGCCCTACCTGAGAACACCCTGGGATTGGGTCTCTGAAACCTTCTGCAAGCAAATCATGAGCTTTAACTATGAAATATGGTCTCTCACCTACAGAAGCCCAAGGCTGGATTTATTTTTTTTAAGTGGGGTGCTAACAAGAAGGAAAAAGACTAAAGTAGCTTCATTTTTTAAAAATGTTGTTCTGTATTACATGATAGGTTTATCTACAGTATTATGGAACACAATCCTTCACAATGTGAAAACGCAGCACTTGTGCAAAGAAGGTTTTTCTGCCCCCACCCCCGCTGAAAGCAACAGGCTATTCCATGGTAATTGGGACATTCAGAGCATGTCCTTGATGCTGCCCACTTAGACCCCTTTGCCCCCTGCCCTGCTACGTCATTTAATGGGCAGAAAAAAGGACGGAGCAGCAATGAGGAGGGTCTGGCACTCCAGATGTTAGTAGCCTGCACTCCCACTGACAGTCAGTGATGAGAGATGATGGACATATACTGAGACAACATCTGGAGGGTCACTGGCTCCTCATTCCTAGACACGGTTATGGGAAGCAGGCACTGATCTCTGCTTCCTAAATTTCCATTACTCTCTCACTAATGAAGGGGTGGTGTTACTCGGGACCTCATTTTTAGGTGGGGGATCCCACCTAAAGGCCGTGCACTATCCCACCCTTTTTTTCTTTGAGAGAACACAGAGGTCCTTAGAAATGATTCCTTGCATACTTGGTTTCCCACATAACCCCGTTCTGCTCTTCAAACAAAGCAGGCATTGCACTGTGTACGTGGTCTCTCATGGCTACAAGGCCACGCCTGCTGGGCTTCAGTAGGAAAAAAAAGTCTCCTGCGTCTTCAGATCATTATCCTCATTAACTTGCAGAGAACTGAGTGTACATGGCCAATTAGGAAACAGCAACCAAGCGTGTTTTCATTGCTTTCTCTTGTTCCAGGGCTTGCTCATAGAGAAAGCGAGTCTAATAGCAATTTGATACCACTTTCACTGCCATAGCTCCATCACAGGATGGCATCTTGACTTCTAGCTTGGGAGGGCTACTTATAATTCTCTGCTAGGCAGCTTGAAAGGGACGTGGTGGCGCTGCGGGCTAAACCGCAGAAGCCTGTGCTGCAGGGTCAGAAGCCCAAGCAGTCGTAAGATCGAATCCATGCGACGGAGTGAGCGCCCGTTGCTTGTCCCAGCTCCCGCCAGCCTAGCGGTTCAAAAGCATGCAAATGCAAGTAGATAAATAGGGACCACTTCGGTGGGAAGGTAACAGCGTTCCGTGTCTAAGTCGCATTGGCCATGTGACCATGGAAGATTGTCTTTGGACAAAAACGCTGGCTCTATGGCTTGGAAACGGGGATGAGCGCCGCCCCCTAGAGGCGAACACGACTGGACAAAAATTGTCAAGGGGAACCTTTACCTTTGGCAGCTTTAGCACAGTGGTTCAAAGAAGGGATTGTTTACTACACTCTCTATGGAACACAAAGTTCCAAGTTATCTCACCAAACTAAAAATCCTAGTATTCCACAGGATGTAACCATGATAAATGCGGTGGTTATCAAAACTGCTGTGTGGCACAGCGATGGCTTGAGTTATTATTTTTTTACAAATCATCTCTATGCCTGGTTACATCACCCTCAGAACATAAGAAAGTGGGTGCGGGAGACGCACAGGTAGAAAATGACATAGTGTTGCTGGTGTGAACTATAAATAAAACCCAATGGAAAGCTGATTTTAAAACAAGTTCTTCGGTTCTACATGAGCTGTTGCTTTTGAGCAAAGACGGCTAAGGACCACAAGGGGTCCACAGATGGATTTATTCCCAATGGAAAGGAGAATTAACCAAGAGCTCTTGCTCAGGCCAACACAACTTGTGCGTGGAGCCCCTGCCAGGGCTCTTGTTTTTCCTAACAATATAAACAATGCAAACCTCCTCATCTTTGTTGCCTGAGGGACAGCAGACACTGCTCGGTTGTCAACAGCTAGCAAGCTGTGATGGACACAGCAGATCAGCCTGCACTAGACTGAGGTGGCCATCAGGCAGCTCCCCAGATGCTGCTGGACTGCAATAGCCAGCATTCCTCAGTCTTGGCTATACTGATTGGGGCTGATAGATGCAGTCCAGCAATATCTAAGGGCCATACTTTTGCCCTCTTGTCTGAGCCTCACCCCTCCATTGCTAAACCCATTTAACTCACCTGCTTCACAAAATCCTGGACGATGCTGTGCTCAGATACTTGGGAGCCGATAGCAAAACGGCGCTTCAGCTGTTTTTCAATGCGAGACAGCATCTCCTGGTCCTCCTGAGTTGTAAAACCCTCCACTCCTAGAGGAAATGCAACATTTAAAACATGTAACATTTCTTACATTTAACCATGAACACCTGTATTCCCCAATTTCACACAGTACATTATATGTTTCAATGAGCAGTGTTCAGTATTCACCAGGAAAACACAGATTCAGACAAAATCAGCCCCAACCAGCATAACGAAGAACTAGTTGAACCCACCATTTTTGATGAATGTGGAAATAGCCCGTCTTGTTAAACTTTGCCCACTTTTTAAAGTATCATGTCATTTCATTCCTAGCACTTCCCTTGGAATTCAAACACATATAAACAACTAACACAAATCCTACTGGATTCTCCCTGTCTGAAAACAAGTGTAACATCTATGAGATGTTCACCTAGATCTTTAGTGGATCCAGCTTTTGCAAACCATCCAATTTATATACTGCTGCTTTAATGTACTTCTCAGGCAGTCCTGAAGCCGCTGGAAAAATTCAAATGGTGACTGATCACAGACTGATGTGATAGCTGACATACTCCTAGGTATATTTAAAGCATATTATTCCAGTATTCCTCATAACAGAACCATAAGTTGAGGTCAATGCTATCACCCAAATGTCAATGGATGAGATAAAATGCTTGGTCTGAAGTTGGGTTGGACAAAACATGGCTCTCTAGATGTTCTCGAGCTGTAATGTCCCTTATTCCTGACCACCATACACAATGTTGACACATCATGGGAGTAGCAGCTTGAAGACTCATGACTTCAAGCTGCCTATTACTTTTCCCTCAGCCCAGCTCACCGGATAGGTTGCCCGACATGGCAGCATCCAGCGTTGACACCTGAAAGAGCCGCAAGGCCTCCGCAACGTCTGCCTCTGTAGCAAAAGGCTGCAACTTCATTTTGCTGAGGGATTCGGCAATCCGCACAATGGCCTCCAGTTGCCTGTATGAAACAAATAAAAAAATCCATTTAAAAAGCAGGGGAAATAATTTACACTGGAAGTTATAACTGAGCCATGGTAGGTTTTTGCTCATCCCTGTGTGGGATGCACAGTTCAACACGGTGAGGAGGTCTGAATGTGTGAGGGAAACTGGGAATGATAGTTACTGTGTTTCCCCGAATATAAGACAGGGTCTTATATTAATTTTTGCTCCAAAAACCGCATTAGGGCTGATTTTCAGGGGATGACAATCTACATTTATTCAAATACAGTTGTGTCATCTTCTTCCAGTTGATGCACAAGGGTGGAGGGTGGGATTTCATTTAACTGGGGTTTATTTTTGGGGTAGGGCTTATATTATGAGCATCCTGAAAAATCATACTAGGGCTTATTTTCAGGTTATGTCTTATTTTCGAGGAAACAGGGTAGGAGTTTTACCAGGGTCACCAAGGTGGAACGGTCAACATAGAGAGACCAGACTAAGATGGAATGATTCTTTTCAGGAACTAATAGTAACATCAGCAGGGAAAAAAAACTCAGAGCTCCAGTGGTGATGAGAAATTCTTGAAGGGCAGCTAATGGGCAACAGGAGTATCAGGAGACAGGTCTCTAGTTGTCTCATGTGCTCCCAGAGGCATCTGGTGGGGCCACTGTGAGATACAGGAAGCTGGACTAGATGGGCCCTTGGCCTGATCCAGCAAGGATGTTCTTATGAGTAATGGAAGGCGACAACTGCCCAGGGTTTTTCTTTGACAACGGCAGTCAAACTAATTCTTGTTAATATTGCATAGAAGACAGCAACAGTAAACCACTCCTGAGTATTTGTATGTGGAAAACCTTAAGAGACAATTCAGAATAAAACAGTGTGCTGATGAGACTATCTTCAACACATTCACACAATGTTCCATCACATCTGCAGAAAATCTTCACCTCATACACTGCTGACCACAGAAAATACTAACTCATCCTGTCTAAAAAATGGGTCACTCTTGCACTTCTCCTTCCAGTCTTATACACTGCTGACCACAGAAAATACTAACTCGTCCTGTCTAAAAAATGGGCCACTCTTGCACTTCTCCTTCCATATGGAAGGAGAAGTTGTGTGTGGGATCATTCTGTTCCACAGGCATTGCCAAAGACATGAAGGTGGGATATAAATAAAATAAATAAATAAGTTGTGTGTGGGATCATTCTGTTCCATAGGCATTGTCAAAGACATGGCTTTTCCTCTCACCTCACTGTAATGGGAATGTTGGATCGATGGCTGCTTTCCCTTTCATGCTGCCGGGCACCACTGCGCATGAGGATGTAGCGGTTCTTCAGCTTTTCTGCCGCCTCAGCAGAAAGACGAGGACCACACTTCCTGTTGGAGGCATTGAAGAGCTTAGTGAGTCAGAGGGTATATAAAATTCTGGCACCGTGGGTCATTTAAAGCCTTAATTAGCTGGAACGTCTTCACATTTAAACTGAGAGCTACAAATAGTCTTACACCTCTGAACACTTTCAGAAATTTAACCAAGGGTTTTCCATAGTATTTCTGGGTGTTTGGCATCATCAGAAGAACAAATAGAGCTACACAGTTCAACTAAGCATTAAGCGCATATTCCACATTTTAGAGGTTTAATTTGGCTTTTTCCACAGCAACTTCAGCATCTGTCACAAAGAAACAGTTCCACTAAGTATGAAGTCTATATTCCACAAAGAGATTGAAACAACCAGAAAATGGGTTGAACATACCCCCTCCATTTCACTGCACCTCCTGCTGAAACTCTGCTTTAAACACACATTGGGGACAGTGGGAGAACATACACATCTATATTTCACATCTACTGGACTTTCAGCCCGCCCTTCTTGATTAATATTGCAGTCCCTTAAGGTACTCACGTGCGACAATAGGCAATCATCTTCTTCAGTTTGCTCAGCTCAATCTCGCCCTCGACAGCCTGGGTCTGGGTGAGGGCACTCACATGCAGCGACATCACATGCTTGGCCAGAGTCTACGGACAGAGCCAACGGCAGGAGAGTCAGAAGTGAGAAACATGCCAAGCACTCTTTCAACTTGCAAGAGACCCTTGCGATCCTCCAAGCACCCATTTAAATGAGTGCTAGTCAGCCTCCTCAAGCATGGCTTTGTTCTGCCTAAAGCATAGGTTGGGGAACAGGAGTAAATAACCCTAAATGGGATAAAAGTGAACATCCTGGGGGTAATGAACAGAGTGCTACACCCCTTTCTTCCTCCCTC